GTAAGAGTTGACTTACAATGTATTCTACATATTGTGTAATTCCAACTGTAATCTATATACCTATAAACCAGGTAAGTGTTGACTTACAATGTATTCGACATATTGTGTAATTCCAGCTGTAATCTATATGCCTATAAACCAGGTAAGTGTTGACTTACAATGTATTCTTCATATTGTGTAATTCCAACTGTAATGTATATACCTATAAACCAGATAAGTGTTGACTTACAATGTATTCTACATATTGTGTAATTCCAACTGTAATCTATATACCTTTAACCAGGTAAGTGTTGACTTACAATGTATTCTACATATTGTGTAATTCCAACTGTAATCTATATACCTATAAACCAGGTAAGTGTTGACTTACAATGTATTCTACATATTGTGTAATTCCAGCTGTAATCTATATACATATAAACCAGGTAAGTGTTGACTTACAATGTATTCGACATATTGTGTAATTCCAACTGTAATCTATATACCTATAAACCAGGTAAGTGTTGACTTACAACGCTAATTATACTACTAATCACTTGCATAATTCTGACTCTGTATTCATGAATTTCTCCTGCCACATATACCTACAGACTTGTCAGAAGAATGATGACAAAGCTTATTCTATTAAAACCACTAAATACAAATGATGTTGTATCTATGATCTTTTTCCCCCACACTTCGCCCAAACTAAAATCTATAAATTCATCAGGATAGTGTGGGTCTTTAATACATATTTTTTATATGACACTGTTATATTCTAACAGCATGCTGTATCTATGAGATTCTAGTGTTCATCCCGACCCATTTTCTCCGCATGGGCATTGTCTAATGGTTAGCTGCTCGGATTGTGAATTCTAGATTATTTGTTCATAACTCACTGGCTTAAAAACTTAATCCGCACTTGGGGCCGTGGGGCCGATATATACAAATACCTGAAATGACAGGAGAGTTCATGGGTATAGTGCGTGTTTCTATTGATTTATGTTCTTGCATAGAGTTTTATATAGTTAGCCTTTAAATAAACACAGATGAATTTTATTTCAACAATAAGCCAACCTTCGATCTGTTTTAGTCTAAGATATGTCATGTTGTTTTGCAAGAATCGACATAGAAAGACATCATGTCATGCTACAGCTGAAGATGACAGATGTTTAAACCAGCACAATAGACACGTGATTGATTTCTCTGTGTGTAGATGTGCCTAGGCTGGTAAATACCTACATAGTTTCAGTCAAAAGCTTTCTACTTTTTGACATTTAGATTGTGAACATCAGAATGAAAAAGTACAAATTACGAGTTCACCGTGTAGAACAAATAATGTCACTTTTCATTTGTTTAGTAACATGAGATAAAAACAATTTGGTAAAGACTTTCGTAGTCACCAAAAATTACAGGAATTGTTTACTTACGTGTTGTAAGAGTTGTTTTCTCTCAGTGCAGCAGTTATATAGCAAACTTAAACAAAAAAAATGATAGTTTGTGAAAAAATACATTTTGATGTAGAAGTAAATTGAAATCAAGTGCATATCCTGCAAGACACGAAGTTTAATAGTTTGGAATAAAAACCGCACACTATCGTTTCTAGAAGCCCAAGTATGACACAAAGCCATTTTAGTTAAAAGGAACAGCCAAAGTTCAAATTATGTTTTATTTAGAAATTGAACTAAAATAAGTTCTTTTCCCTATTTAACTGACCATTCTTCAAAGTGTACTAAACAAAATAGCTTGTGAATAAATAAAAAATATATATACAGTAAAAACGCTTCGAATGCGACGAAAAGATGCAAGTGATACAATCTACACAATATTA